AGTGACAAGGCATGGCAGACAGGCACAGATCTCTTCTGCTTATGCGCCACTATCCTAACTGACTTCACTTGTGAAACACAAGTTCTAAGATTAAATTATTGGTAATTTAAAGATGTCAGCAGAAGAGCTTTTAATCAAGTTCAGGGCCCTGTATGTCTGTACACTTATAAAGCAAGCCCTGGTGATAAGTTTTTATCTTACCACTGAACAGAGGGAACGCTCAACTATCCAACTCTGAGATCAGATCTAAAGAAATTTGTATTTAAAGCAACTACATAGTGACAGAAGGAAAGTAAGAGACCATTATATTGACCATTGAGGAAAGATTGTACACATAAAATTTTTTTGTGTGCTTTACTCTTTAAGTCTTGGTTAAAAAGCATTGGGTGATTCAGATACTTTTTTTCCTGCTAGTCTTTTATTCTGTCTTAAACCTTATCCTTTAGAGCACTTACAGCTGTTTAAGTTGTATGGTTATTTGTGTAGTTTGTTCTCTACTAGGCTACAGCTTCTTCATAGTCACTATCTCAGTAGGTTCATTGTTGTCCCCTCTCCCCATCTCCTTGTTTAGTATTCAATTAATGTGCCTAGCACACGTTAAGTATGTAAATAAACTATTGCTTAATAAATGAACTTGAAAAGATGCCTCATAGTACCTTGTAATTGGTCTGGTAGAATTTTTTAAAGACTGTACATTTTATTTTATTTTTTAACTATTTTTGTGCTTTTGACCTACAACTTACACAATCAAATTATGTAAGTTTTTCTGGTAACACCTACATTGTGAAAACTCAATCAGTTTATGTAGAGAAGTTGCCAAAAATAGTTTCATGCAGTATAAATTATAGCTCTCAGAGGACTCTGCCTCTTTGCCTTCTCCCAAGCGGTTTGTTTTGAGCAGATTTCCTACCAGGTTAGTTTCATTCTGCAAGTAAGTCTGCAAGTAAGAATTGTGTGTAAATATAATCAAAGTAAACTATGAGAGGTATGGTTAAGAAGCATTATTGTTGAAGAACCATCCATAGGCCTGTGTCTTAAAAAACATTGTCTCCCTGTTTAAAATCCTTAACAAGTACAGTTCTTGTTTAGTATTTTTATAGCCTCCTTGATAAAATAAGACATCTGCTACTTGTAAAATTATTTATGGGCTTTTGCAGTCAGTTTTTAACCATTAATAATCTTTCTGCTAGCGTATGCCTTCTTTAAATGTCCAATTCATGATTGACCTTTTTGATAAAAAATTTTTGTAGATGTATGTATAGAATTTATAAGAAGCTGAACGTAGGAAAGATTTATGTTAGGTGATCATATGTGTGCTTTATCATCCAAACCAGGCCACTTTTAAGAGACAACGCAAGCACTATTAATAATTGTCCCGGGATAATGAGTACAAATTAGGGCTTTTCTGACCACAAACCGTGGCTGTTCTAGGCAAACCAGGAAATATGGTCATCCTATTTAAAAGGAAAACAGCAGTCCTTTGCCTTTACCTCATTACCAGTCCCACTTTCCATGGGCATCAGTCCTCATGTTTTAGCTGTTTTAGGATTTACCTTCATATTTCTGAATGATGTGTTTATACTGGTTTTTTTTTATGTGTTTATACTATTGATGGTTTTTCGATATTATATATGTGCTTTTTTATTTATCCTGTCCTTCCCCTTCCCACCTCCATCAGACAGCATGTTTGTAGCAAGACTGTTGATGCAGTAGTCTATGTTTACACTATTTCAAATATGTAAATATTAAAGAGATCACTCAAACACTGCAGTATTGCCTTTCTTGAACAATAGCTCTATTTTCCCACATCACAATATTAATGTATTGAATTGCTATTTGCTTTAAGTACTCAGCATTTTTTCCCATTGGTTCATCATCTCTGCCGTGTGCCAGAATAGTTTCCATACAATGCTATTTTTTCCTTAGAACTTTGCTTTGATTATCTGTGATACTGTTCCAGTCTTGATCATTTGCTCCCTATGCTTTCTACATGCCTTTGTAACTATTTTCTGGTTTCTGTGTCTGACTCTTTCATTCTTTACACTCCCATTTTCCTAAGACATGATCTTCATTACCTTCCTATGGTTTTGTCTTCTTTTTTTGATTGTTTTTTAAAAGCTTGCATGTCCGAAAATTTGTTTTTCTCCACTTCACATTTCACCGCTAGACTAGTTATTTTTCTCAGTAGTACAAACATTGCTTTTTGTCTTAAAAGTTTTTAAACTTGTGATTAAGAAGCCATTCTGATTGATTACTCTTCTTTTGTACATAACCCATTTTTTCACTCTTGTAAATTATAGGATTTTCTCTTTATTTCCAGTGTTCTGAAATTCAAGATGGTAATTGGTGCTTAGTGTTGGTCTTTTTTCTTTGATCCTACTAGTTACTCTTGACCTCTTTCAATGTGGAGATTAGTGTCCTCCAATTCTAGAAAGGTTCTTTCATTTCTTTGGTAATTTTCTCTCCATTTTCTTTTCTCTCTCTTTTACAAACATAATTATAGTCAAATGATAGATAACTATTCTTATTTTATGAATGAATGTCTTTTGATCTTTTTGAGGATGATTAATTAGCTCCTTTCCTCAAATTTTCTCTTAAGTTCCTTTTTTTGTTGTTTACTTTGGCTTTTGTTTTATATTGGAAGTTTTCCTTGGATACCTAGTCATCCTTGATGTTTGTCTATTAGAGGGAAGCACTAAAGAAGCTGATTAGAAACTTGATTTCTAGTAGACTTTGCTGTGGGTAGGATGGTCTAATGACAAATTAACTTTGTAATTGGGAGCATTCCAAATGTCAGTATCAAGAAATCTCTGGTGTTTTGTTTGGTGATCCAACAGTAAATCTCTTGGTTTTTGACAGCATTATAGAAGCAGGACCAGGAAAGCGTTTTTGGGTCTCAACATTGAGTATATAGATTTTCTTTTATTCCTTATACTTACCTGTGCAGAGATGATTATATATTTAGGGTGGGGGGGGAAATTGCCTGGGAGATCCTTATTCTCTAGAGAATAAATATCCTATATTTGGAAGAGTGGAGCTTGGGAAGAATTACTCTGGGTTTTACTGCTCCAACTACAGATTTTAATTCAACAACTCATTTTCAACCCCATGCATCACTCCTTTTTTAATGTACCTTATATCTTCACATCTTGATTCTTCCTAGGATGCTAAGGTCAACTGCTTTGCTTCCAGTTCCTACCTCTTCTAAAAAGTATCTAGGGTGTAGTTTTATACTCTCCTGAATTATTCTGCCTCTCCTCCAACTTTGGATTTTCCAAATATACATTGAAACCTCTTGCCTTTTATGTTCTTTTCCTGTTTTTTTTTTTTCATGGTTCAAGTTTTTGGAGTCATTTACTGTGGTTTTATAGAGGTTTTAGAAAGAGGGGCTAAAATAGATGCATAAGGGTAACCTGTTGTGTTTAACTGGAACTTAGAAGCTGACCTTTTCTGATAAGTAAGCTTTCTTTGATTTAATCATGTCCCATAGTATAGCTTTTACTCTAGTTTCTCGTTAGCTGGATATCCTTAGTCGAATACTTTTAATTGATACTGGGCTTGTGTTATATCTTTTTGATGTTTGTTGTATATCTCCTACTGCAATAGACCATACGTTTTCTTGATGTTTTTGCTCTCTTCGTCCTCTTTTCTGTCATTGTCTGATACTGTGTTTCTGAGACAAATATTATGGAAAATGGAAATCTTTTGTAGTAACTTTTAAGGTAAAAAGAGGTGACTGTTCCAAAACTTAGTTGATAAGTTAATGAGGTTACATGCTGAAAATGAATTAGATATTTTTAACTAAATTGTTTAAATTTGAATGTTTTAATAAAGTAAATGCACCTATCTAAGCTGCATATCAGACAAGTGAAGTGCATCTGCTTGTACTTTTCTTAATTTTAATCCACTACAAGAATAATAAGGGAACAATTTTTGACCTTGAAAGTGGGTAATTGGGGGAATTGGAAGAGATATTGTGGTTTCTTTTTATTGCTACTTTCTTTTGTCCTTCTCTTTTTACTCTCAAGACTGGTGGCATCTCAGTTGTCCAGAAGCCTCACTGTAAATTCTTTCCCAAGAAAACTTTAAAAGATTTTTTTAATTTATAAAATTAATATTTTTATAAAAGCTCTACTATAATAGCCTAAAGCTGGAAACAATCCAGTGTCCATCCACAGTAGAATAGACAAATAAATTGTATGTATTGATAATGGAATATTATATAAACCAATTAGGGTGAACTTACTATAGCTGCGTGCAACAGCATGAATTAATCTCACAAATACAATGTTGAGCAAGTAAAACAAGATGTAAAAGAGTACATGTTGTATGAATCCTTTTATATGTAGAGTTAAAAATCATCCATAGCTAATGGTGAATCTTGGCCTGTGTCAAGGAATATTTAGTGATGAAAACTTAGAAATTATTCTCAGATTTTGGAAGGGGACACAGGAAAACAAATTACAGCATATAGTATGATGTCTTAATAAAAGTATATACAAAGTGGAAGCACACTTGACCTTGTTTTAAGACTATGACCAGGAATTGAATGGGGAAGTATAGACTTCGCATGCACATACAAAGGCCTGTGAGAGTGTCCAAGTGTTAAGGAGTGTATAGATATTACAACATAGCTAATGTTCATGGTGAAAGTATTGAACTTTGAGAATAATAAGAGTCAAGGGCAGATTCATGTAGGATTTTATAGAGATACAGAGAATTGAACTGAGTAAAGGAAAGAGCTCAGGCTTTAGAAACAGCAAACCTCAGTTTGTTACTACACTTTAATCATGTTTGCTTCATTTTATGGACCATGGGGGAACCTTTGATGGACTTCAGACCTTTGCCTTGTAGAGAAGGGCGATGATAGTCTCACAATTTCATACCGGATAAATCTGCATGGTTAATTCTTGGTTTGGGCTGATCATTAAGGAGAGGATTAAGAATCAAAAGTTTGCATGTTTTCCCAAACGCTGTTACTCAAAATTTGCATTTCACAGGAAACCTTAAGAATGGAGTCTAAACATTCAAGGATTCCAAGAAGAATTTCTGTTCAACCCTCTGACTCTTTAAGTGCTAGGATGATGTCTGGAAGCAGAGGAAGTAGTTTAAATGATACCTATCACTCAAGGGACTCTTCGTTTAGACTGGATTCTGAATATCAGGTAACATCTTAATTTGAAATACGGGTACAGCCTCATTTTCAAAATCCTTGGGGGCATGATTTTCCGGATTTTAAAAAAGTGGTAGAGTATGTTTATAACATTGAGCTGGATTTGAGGCATCCTGTAATCAAAATATTAATCTGTCTGCAGCAAAATGAATGAATGTTCACACCAAGTAGCAAAAGCTTAATGTTTTTCAATCTTTTGGACTTAAGAATTATGAGTAAGGATTGTGGTCATATATAAAATGTTCATACTTTGCAAAGACAGAAACCTTATTACTTAAAAACATTGAAGTATCAATTTAAATTAACAGGCTGTCTTTTGGTGAAGATACATCACTAACAGTCTTTTACATGAATTTTGGCGTTTTATTTTTATGATTAGTAGTGAGTTTGCATTGGTTTATAATCTACATAAAGTCATAAACTATTCTTATGTAGCTAATTTTCCTTAGGACCAGAATAGCACTTTGGTTTTTCAAATAGGTTATTAGTGTTATAACAAAATGGTTGTAGTATAAAACAGTATAAACCTCAGAAGGCATGGTTTGCAGGTGTAAAGAAATTTATCTTGCTTGTCTTTCAAATTTAAGTTTATTGCATAATTGATTGAACACCTAATTAAATCATGTGATTTGCAAAAGTCCAATGTTTAGGTAACTGAATCTAAGAATCCTTCAGTGAAAATGTGTTGAAGCCTTACAAATTATATATTTATATGTCATGCAGTGTTCTGTATGACAGAGTCATTTTAAAGTACTTCTGCACACATAAGCATTTTACAAAATGTTAAAAGAAAGACAAATGAAATAGAATAACTTCTCTAAAATGCCCCTATCTACTGCTCACTTGCTGACTTTATATGTACTGTTTACTTGGACTTTATTTTAAATGTTGTTTGGTACTGTGTTTTGTTTTGTTTTGTTTTGTTTTGTTTTTTCACTCTGTTGCTAGGTAAGTGTATGCTTGCCAGAGGTACAGAATCACATATTTTACATTCTGTAGGAGTGCTGTAGGTTAAACGATTGACTTATTAAGAGCACAGAACTGGGGTTTTTTTTCCGCCATTGATAAAATTTTGTTTACTGATCTATGTCAGATTTTTCACGTAGCTTATTAGTGAGAAACACAGACTCTGAAACTAGGCTGAAAGTCTTGAATATATTTTAAAAATGTATTGACATTCACTTTAAAATACAGCTATTTTCAGACTTTTTCTTAGAACTTGTTCTTAATGTCATAGATTATTCCAAAAGTATAATTTTTCATTGTGGAAGTTTAATAAATACAAGTATGAAAAAAAAACTTTTAAGTCTTTTATTGATTTTAGCAAGATTAATCAGTTTTGTAAATTTGGGGGTTTTTCTTAAGGTTTTTCAGCTACTTTAAATGACTTCCAGTCTTTTTTTCTAAGTGGGTTATAAGAACATTTCCAATCTTAAGTCTATTCCTAGGCTGCTTTGCTCTTTTAATTTTGATTTAGAAACTGAAATTCCTGTGTTCTTGAGCAAAATGCTTTACTTTTCTGTTTCCTCGCGATAATGGTAATTTCCTCATACAGTATACAGTTACTTTTAAGACTAATTTAAAGAAATAATACTTGTAAACCACTTAGAACAACAGTGCCTGGAATTTAGAGAAGAATTCGGATGTTACCAATTATAATGATGGTGATTGTTATTGCTACTCTTATCTCCTGGCTTTACATTGGTTTAAGTAGATAATATTTTTAGGGTATAGTATACTATGTTATCAGAATATTTAAATTATATCACACATTTAGTTTTATTTAATGTTCTTAAGATTACTCAGCTAGATGTGTATTTAATGAATAAAAAAGACCTTTGAATTTCAAAGGGAACTTCTGTTAATTGCTGATTATTTTCTCACTCACACAACACTGTCCTTCTTCATCACACTTAGTGAACCTAAAGCTTCAGATAGGAGGGTGAGGACAGGGCATAACAGAGCAATCTCATTTTTATTAAGGATCACATAATATGAAGATACCTTATTTATACAGTACTTGACATTTGGCAGAACATTTTTCACTTTTAATTTTAGTTAAATAGGACAGATGCTTTTGTCATTTCATAAAAGGATCTGAAATCTGGAAAGATAAGTGGTATCTCCCAGTCACATGATTTTTATACAGTGTGCCTGAGCTTAAGAATCTAAGACTTATAGATAACATTGTCTCTTTGAGTAATCTAGGTTCTAAGTTCCAAACAGTTGATTTTCTAAATATCTTTTTGTTCTTGGTCATTTGTAAACTAGGCTGCCTGTGTTATTAATCTTGCTGATATTTCTGTAATTCCATCTTTAAATCTTTTTTACAATTTGAATGGTGGAAAACTGATCATCTTATCGTTTGGTAACAGTAAGTAGAATTTTAGATATTTTTGGAAAGAAAATTTAATTTCTGTTATATTGTTAAAAGTAAAAATCTGGGATTATTCTGTGACTATGTAATTATTTTTGTTACTTTTATATATTTTTTGGTAACTTAAGCAACCCCTAATCCCACTTTTTGCTTTTTGGAGAGATTGATTACTTTTAATATGAAATAATAAAATAGGCTTTTTATGGAGGTTCTAGGTACTTTCTTACAATTATTTTTGTCTTTTTCTAGTTTATATATTAACTGTTACAGATGTTAGTACCATTGCATATTTTGCAATAATAAGTATTCTCAAGAATTAGAAGAATCAGTGGCTATTAACGTTTTTTTTTTGTTTTGGCTTGTTTATGTTACGAAGGTAGCTGCCAAGGAAATACATACATGCATATGTACATATGTACACAGGTAAACAAGAAAATGAAAATAGTTTTAAATGGAATGGGGAAAAATATAGATAATACTGAGAGTGGGTCCAGGTTGGTTGTAACAATGATAGGCATTTGTAAGTTCTGCACTACTCTAAAGTTAAACCTGGGCTCTTGTTTTGGGTGTCAGAGATATCACAGGGAAGCTCAATTCGATCTGTAAGGTGTTTTGTTCATAAGGGAAGGGAAGCCATGTTTGGTAGTTTGGTCTGAAAGGTGACAGTGTTGAAATATAAATCAGAAACCCTGCAGCTTGCCTACTCAAAGTGTACAAGTCAGTGGTTTTTAGTGGGTTCACAGAATTGTACAAACCATCATCATAGTCAATTTTAGAACCTTTCATTACCTCAAGAGAGTATCCTAGATCCTTTAGCTATCACTGCACTGTTTTCTTTCCTCTCCCCGCTCGGAACTGAGCAACCACTAACCTAGTTTCTGCCTCTAGATTTCCCTATTTTGGACTTTCACGTTCATGAGTAGAAACATTCTGTATGGTCTTTATGTGACTGGCTTCTCTCACTTGGCATATTTTTTAAGGTTCATCTACATGACGATAGCATGTATCAGCACTTCATTTCTTTTTATGGTTGAATAGCAGTTATGTATGAGGGTTCTGATCTCTATTCATCCTTGTCTGTACTTGCCTTACGTTTTGATTCTAACCATCCTGTCATGTGTGTGAAGTAGTATCTCATAGTTTTCATTTGGATTGCCTTGATGACTCATGATGTTGAGCATCTCCTCATTGCTAACTGGCTGTTTTTATATGTGTAAAGAAATATCTAGTCAGATCTTTTGCTCATTTTTAAGTTGGGTTGTTTGTCATTTTATTAATTAATTGTAAGAGCTTTTGATTTCAAATTCCACTTTTTCATTCTGGGTATAAAGAAAGGAAAACAATTGACTTCTGTTTATTAACCTTGTATACTGCAACCGTACTATAATTATTTGTTAGTTCCAGGAGTTTTTTGGTCAGTTCTTTCAGATTTTCTACATAGATAATCATGTCACCTACAATCTTCCTTCCTAATTTATATACATTTTATTTTTTTTTGCCTTATTTCATTAGCTATAACTTCCAGTACAGTGTTGGAAAAGAGTGGTAAAATGAAAATAACAATGATTGGAAGATAAGCAAATGAAATAGAGACTAAAAAGATATGTGAAACTAAGAGGTGACCTTTTGAAAAGATAAACAAAATAGACATATCTTTAGCTAGACTCACCAAGAAAAAAATGACTCAAATAAAATAAAATATGAAAGAGGAGATGTTATAAATGATACCACAAAAATAAAAAGAATCATAAGGGACTACTGTGAGCAATTATACAGCAAAAGATTGGACAACCTATAAGAAATGGATAAATTCCTAGAAACACAAAACCTACGAAGACTGAATCATGAAGAAATAGAAGATCTAAACAGAGCAGTGATAAGTAAGGAGGTCTAATCATAATCAAAAACTCCCCAACAAAAAAGTCCAGGATCAGATCACTTCACTTGTGAATTCTACCGAACATTTAAAGAAGAATTTCTCAAACTCTTCCAAAAAATAGAAGAGGGGGTAATACTCCTAAACTCTTCCTGTGAAGCCAGTACTACCCTGATGCCGACTCTAGATAAGGACACTGCAAGAAAAGAAAATTAAAGGCCAGTATCTGTGGTGAACATAAATGCAAAAGTCCTCAACAAATTAGCAAACTGAATTCAAAAATACATTAAAGGGATCATGTACCATGGTCAAGTGAAATTTATCCCTGGGGTGCAAGAAAGATGGTTTGTAATAAAAACTCAACAAAATGGGTGCTGAGGGAACACACTTGAATGTAATAAAAGTCATATATGACAAGCCCATAGCTAGTATCATATTAAATGGTGAAATCCAGAAAACTTTTCCCCTAAGATCAGAAACAAGATCAGATAATGATGCCACTCTCACCACCTTTTTTCAGTGTATTATCAGAAGTCCTAGCCATGGCAGTCAGACAGTGTAATAAAAGGAATTCAGATTGAAAAGGAAGAAGTAAAAATGTCATTTGCAGATGATACGATTCTATATATAGAAAAACCTAAAGGTTCCATCAAAAAACTGTTAGAACTAATAAATGAATTCAGTAAAGTTGCAAGATGCAAAGTCGGTACACAAAAATCTGTTGTGTTTTTATACACTA